ACCATAAAATAGGTTTGTAACGAAAAAAAACATCCTTTTGCAATATGAGATGGTGAAGACTGAGAAAGCAAACTTTGAATTATGTCCTAATCTTATTTCATTACCACTAAGACAATTGTTTCTATGAAAAACAGATTTGTATCTTGTTTACGATCTTTTGAAATAAATCCATATTTCACGAGCACCTTCTATGTGGTCTTAACATTAAACTTTTAGATTCGGAGAAAGAAATGGAACAGAAAATCCGGGACAGAATATAAAAACCTAACAACAAAAACCCGATTGTAAAAATGGCCTCAGCATTGGTACCCATTCTCAGCACTCTGCGAGATCGGCTTTATATTCAATTATCTATTTATTCGCTTACAATCATATATATATATATATATATATATATATATATATATATATATATATATATATATATATATATATATATATATATATATATATATATATAATTACGACTGACACTACTATTATAATACTAACGTGGTCCAGAACCAGCATTCCATTAAAGAACCACAACGTTCATTATCAAGTTGCTCGTGGCTTGTTGCAGTCTTACCATGGTGATGAAAAGGAAATTTGACATTTTCTAAATATACTCAATTATAGGGATGCATCTAGGTAGATATGACATTAATTAACCGTTTTACTGTTATTAAACGACTTGAAAACATTTTTAGTTGATACAGTAGATTTATATTTACATTCACAGTCATCCTTAATATCAAATTCAATAGCAAATACTTTTTTTTCGAGTCAAAGCGAAATGGAACAACGTCAGCTGCAGCAATAGTATTAGCTTATACCTCAACCCACATCATTCCTTGCAAGATTTAAATCAGTTCGTCAGAAGCCTTCAACAACAGCAATCAGAAAAAGTAATAATGGATATATGAAGCGGTATATACAGTGATGTTCAAAGGTTGAATATTGACAAATTGATTTAGCACGCTAGTGAAAGGAGGTAGAGAAATCTTGTTATTATATGTTGAATTTGACATTATTCAATTCCCCTACAAGAGGAAGTGTACACTCTCTTCCTGCTTTTCTTCCTTTTGAAATGCTAATTTTCATTTAAGCTCAATTGTCTGGATTTTTTTTATAAGGCTGCTACTGGATATTTGCTTAAATCTGCGACAATTGTATTCTCATCGAAAAAAAAATAACGAGAGAAGCTTAAATGCCACAGAAGAAAATGCAATTACAATAATGAAGATCTGTAACAAGAACACATTTAGGTTTGCTATTACATAAAGTCTTCTTATCCATACAGTTATAATAGGCAGTTGTATGGTGGCAAATGGAAAGAATATAGGGCCATGCATATTTTGGAACAAATATAAGCATCACGTAACACAGAAAACCAATTGTTGTCAGTATAATACACCGTATTAACTACATAAAATACGTACTCATTCGACCTTTTTGTGACATTTGACGAATTTTGTAGACATTATTTACTAATATACTGTTCTGTAGTTTATTTATTGAAGTTCCTTATCAATTAAATAATTTTAATAACTATTTGTGATTATAAGAATTGAACTGCTTGCAGTCTTGAAGCTTGAAAATGGATGACACGTTAAAATGACTGGCCTTTACTTCGTTACAGCAGTTGATACAATGTGAAACCAGCTTTACGACACCACGAAAACTGTAAAATTAAGAAGTTCATTCTGAAGTCATTCTTCAGCTTTCAAGGTCCAGTTTATGCGTTGGATATACGTGATCAGTTTTCAAGTGAAAGTCATATATAGCGCACCTGCTTAAAGACGTGATTGAGCACAGTCATTTTCTATGGCTCTGATGCAGAAGTTTATTGATACTGATTGCAATTTTGTTATGTATGTCATTTATTCGATATCAATTAAAATTCATTCTCCGATAGCTACTGTTTGATTAACCACAGCTTTTATGCAGAGAAACAGTGCAAACTGATAACAATTTGAAAGCATGTTTTTGTTAGAATATTCTATGATTGAATGACAACATACTTTAGGTAGAGTTGTCCGCTTTAAGTTGTATTTAAATAGAGATCATAAGGCTTCTCAAAAATGACTGCTATACCATATACGAAGAAAATTATTTTTTAATACATACCTTAAGCAAGATTGGCTTTATTTCTAATTTAGTTTTGATGAAATCATTACACCAGTTCGAAATACTGCATGTACTAAAAGATTTCATTAGTGCTTTACCTTTCTTGAAATTTCCTGTTTCAGATTTACAAAAGAAACACGAAAGATTGAATCAAGACCACTAGTGAATCTATTGTACATTAGTACTAAATCTGCAACACACATTATGCTTTATTGTATATCTAGTAGACAGTCAAATCATTTATCTAACCCTTCTCGTACTTTTATCATTTGGCTCTTCTGGAAAGGACAAGTACATAAAGTTTCTTCCACTCAAGCAATACAACAAGAACAATGCTATGATCAATGTAAAATAAGCACATATTCGTGTTTAAAATTTCATTATCATAAACTATGTGAAGTGTTGAATTTTGAAGACTTATTGAAACTTAAGGTTAAACAAATTGTGCTGTAAAGTTATCATAGTCAAGCCAGAAAGGTTTTGAGAAAGATCACTGATGATTTATTTATTTAATCTCTGAATGCTTAAAATGTTATGTTAAGCTTCAGTAGTATTTGACCTGATCATTTTACCAGTACAATGGTATACGTGCAATAAAAGTCCGACCGTATCAGTTCAAAAGGGGCGCACGTCAAATGATTGATTTTTCAAAGGAAGCTAATTGCAACATATTTTAGGCTAGTGAACTCTGATTAGAGACATGATTATTTGGATAGAATTGTATGAACAGTTATTTCCGATTGGTCTAGGAAATTAAGGGCGTACAATTTGGGAAACAATTTAGGGGTTCTATTTGCCCAAAATTCTTTAGTCCGATTTTTTCTTCAAAGAAAACTAAGTCCGACTCCAGGGAAAACATAGAGAGTAGGGCTCTCATTAGAAGGAACTCGTATAATTTAGTCAGACAGCTGTCTTAAAAAGAAAGAGAGAGAGTATTGGCTAGGACACGGTTGTGTGGAAAGAAATGGCATTAAGCTAAGCAATTTTAGCTTCCATTTAATATTTTATTTCATTTATTTGGTTTGTTTGCAAATGTGTTGATATGCTTATGATTCATGCATTTATCGTGCATTCATTTCGTAGGACTCTATTGAAGTGTTAGTGTTATACCTTGTAATTCTTTGATGTAACAATTATTAATTCCTTGAGAGATTTGACGGAATGCATGTAATTAACTATTTAATGTGTATGGAATTTCACAGGGATTATGGTGTACCTCAAACAATGCAAATATCCAGTATTTCATAGGGATTTATGAAATAGCACTAATACACCGATGAGTCATATTTCTTATGATATATGTATTCATTCTCTGCGCAGAATTACATTATTATCGCCAATTCATGACAAGTGCATATTATATATGATTTCACAATATTTAAAAGATCATGCAGGTTACTTTATTGTTCTTAGATTTAGTGAATATTATGCCATAATTAATTGAGTGTTTATTTTATTGAGCTGCATTGACTAGCCTATTATAAATAAGACGTCTAGTAATGTAGGCTGGTATATACGGTCGCATTTTTCTGTATAAAGCATGTGATAATTGCTGACGAATTGCTAGCGCTGAGTGAAACGAACTTCGAGCAAATGTCATTTTTTTTTTTACTAAAGTAACGGTACTTACCAAAACACAGAATTTGTATAGAAAATTATTTGTTAAGATCACATTATGTCAGAATTGTGCAAGTGTGAATCACTTATCTGAGTACGAACCAGTATGTGTGTACACCCCCCACACTCACACACACACACATATATATATATATATAAATATACATATATATATATATATATATATATATATATATATATATATATATATATATATATATATTTATATATATATATATATATATATATATATATATATATATATATATATATATATATATATATATATATATATATATATATATATATATATATATATATATATATATATATATATATATATATATATATATATATATATATATATGAGTAGTGGAATTTGTCTAGCGTGAGGCATACAATATATTTATGGAAACAGCTTTATACTAAAAAAGGGAGAAAGGAGAAAGGAGGAGATAAATAAAAGAAACCCGATGAGTCAAGGGGAATTTAACATCAGAATAGTCAAGGGTCAGAAGAGGACCAAAGCACATGCACTAGACGTGGGATACAAGACGAGAGGAGATGGACGTCAGGTGATGCTGTCAAAGCGTGGAAATTTCGTTCAGAATTCAATACTCGTAATATGATGTAAATTGAACACTGCGACTAAATTCTGTCTCTGTAAATTGGTTGGATTGGTTAGTGAATTTTAGTAACGTATTAATTAATTGGAAAGTGAATTTTGGTTACGCATTAATTTTTTACATTTACTTTAGTAAATCTGTTAGATGAAAAATTTATTGTTTTATCATATAATAATTGATTACATTTTATTTTTATTTATTGGAAAGGGGATTCGTTGTTATTTATTTTCTTTCAATAACCGCTCAGCTATCTGTAACGTTCGGTCAATCCGTCCACACTGGGCAATAATACCGTGGGAGATCATTTCCTAGCTAACGAAAGCCGCATCAAGGAGGGTTCGAATGTTTTAAATCCCTTCGTGACAAACAATGTCTCAGAAGTGTACGTGTCAGCAAAGGCTGCTGATTGTCATGCTGATATAAATCAGACTATTCTGTACCCAGATGAGGGTTAAGTTTGTTATAACCTACCCATTTTCCTGTAGATCTTTTTGTCAGTATGTTTCTGTCTGTCTGTCTGTCTCACTGTCTGTTGTCTCTACATACATACATACATACATACATACATACATACATACATACATACATACATACATACATACATACATACATACATACATACATACATACATACATACATACACAACCGCTCCAGTGGCCTAGTGGTTAGAGCATCCGCCTCTGATGCGGGAGGTGGTGGGTTTGATACCCGGTTGAGTCATACCAAAGACTTAAAAGAAAATGGGTTAAAAATGTGGTACTAGCAGCTTCCTCGCTTGGCGCTCAGCATTGAGAGGTTAGTGTTAAGACTGGTTTGCCTGTATCAGGATAATGAGATTGTATGGGACATCATGCTACATGTCTGCGGCATTATACCCCAGTGATAGACAACACTATGAAGAACCACACTGCAGACATCGTACTGATATGATTGAAAAAATGTTAAAACTAGGTTAAAGATAATGCTAAAGCTACGTTAAAAATCACAATCACATACATACATATTACATGCATACATACATATTACATACATACATACATATATACATACATAGATACATACATAGATACATACATAGATACATACATACATACATACATACATACATACATACATACATACATACATACATACATACATACATACATACATACATACATACATACATACATACATACATACATACATACATACATACATACATACATACATACATACATTTGATCATCCTGTGAGAATGTAAGAAGTTCCTGTTATTTACGTGTATATTAGAGAAAAAGATCTACGTTCAAGCGGTAACACAAACACAAGACTGTACTTTAAGATCAATCTCGATTCTATTTCCGGATCTTAAAAAGTAATATCCTCTTTCTATTAACCAATTACTTCAATCACACATCAACTGCCATAAATTAACTCAAATGGCACAGAAGGTTTTAACGATTTGCTGATGTCGGAAGAAAAGTCTCTTAAATCAATGGGGTCAAATAAAAACAAAGTAGATCAAGAGACATTAATTACAGAGAAATACTCTGTTTTCAAAAGAGACTGAATGGAACAAACATGTTTACTGGTAAATGTGATTTAAAAAAAACAACAGAATTTCAGCTTCCTAATATAAAAGGAATATCACGGAAGGCAATTTTAGAAAAAAGTATATTTCTTCAATGATACTAACCTTATCAAAATACACTCAAAGTACACACACACTACCTCACAAATCAAGCTCTTCCAAAGCTGAAAATGCGTTCGCCATGCTGTTCGATTTATTATACGAACTGAATTCATTAATTATCTTCTTGAGAAGGTAGAAGTTAGATGAGAGTGGTTTACTCATGAATAGAGAGGACCGCGAAATTTGACAATTTTAAGTTACTATTAGAAAGGATGTTCACACTATTACAGAAATTTAATTCAGGAAAGGGCTTTATGAGGGTGTACCCACATAGTAAATGGGCGAGATCTATTGAGCAAATTAACTTTATTATAAAACTTGTTTCCTGTACAAATACACTACCCCACCATTAAATTAATATATTACATATTATATTTTATAGTAACATAACTATCCATAATATTTTAGGCTTATCAATGTAGACCTGTAATTTTATAATCCCTCCCATTTAAAACCCCAACAATATTTTCTTTAGAGTAATGTTATATTTGAAAACAATTTAAGTTAATAAAAATCGAAAAAGTTTTTATCATTTTAATATTTCCTTTTTCATTTATTCACTGTAACTTGCTTTTGAATTTTCTCTGGTTACCCATTAGAGAAATTTGTATAAAAAGAATAATCAAAATATTGCTTATAATACATTTTGCCTAAGGAGTATGACTGCCTTGATTGAAAGCACTTAATATTAAAGAGACCGTTGAAAAGACTATCCCCTGTTATATATCTAACATGTTACTAGTGATAATAAATCGGCGTCACGAAATCATATTTTGTTGAATAACGAAAATATTGAATTTGTTCAATAAAATGTGTAAAATGAACATGGTAATTTAAATCGAATAACAAAAACTCAAACAGACAATTATGAATACGTCGCATGAAGATTATTTATAACGGCGTCAGAGGCACCAATAAGCAATTGTTTATGCGAAAGTCTTCCTTCTCCCCAAGATCAGCACTTCCTACATCTATTCAAATACGGTAATACAATTACATATTTAGATTAATATTGGTGTCCTTCAGCATGCCACACAAAGTGAAAAAAAATCTATACCCCTAACAGAACAACAAAAAGATTACTACGAAGTTCTACTCCCACACTAATTTGTAGTTGTAGTCCTGTTTGTTCTTTGAACGTGTTTTTTCCATTTAATATTTGTTCAGTATGTCTGATCTCTTGTAATTCGCACGGTTATTTTTCCATTAAGATATTTATCCAATATATTTGATGTCGTGTAAATTGTTAAGCACAGTTCTTCCATATTTAAATGTATATTAATAATCATACGAGTCTTAGTAAGAGAACAAAAGAGTAAAAATATAGTGTATATCCATAGCTAGTTTGACAGAGAATGTTTCTAAAGGTTAAGTTTTAAGTTACACTGCTATTTACACTCTCACATTATTTAAACGATGGGAGTAGGGCAACGGGTGGGAGCGAGATGCGTTGTCAACCATATTCCATTTCTTCGAGGGTAGATATAAGGCATATATGACACAGAATTTACAAGCTTTTGAAGTCAACATCAGATTCGTAAGCTAGTTTAAAGTGCCTTCTGAGACAAATATTGTTTGCCAAATTATAAAGTGTTGGCGACAATAACTTCCGACATTCGATGTTTTTATTCTCAAGCTACCAATCATGCTCCCAATTATACCGTCTTAGTGCTTTAATAACCTAAGATTATAAGATGTAGCCATTTAAATCTCGCAAATATTCACAGCATTATAGAATCACTAAATAAGTTATGTAAGAAGACAAAACTAAGCGACAATCACGATAATGCCCTTTCGTGCCATTAGTTCATAAAATATCCTCAACTAAAGAATCTGTTGTCATGTGTAAAATGGTAGGTATAGTTGCTGCTTACCGATAAATTAACTAAATATTAAAATATTTGAAAGTGCACACTATTGTGGAAATGAAACTGAAATCTTTCATTTATTTTATGAATAGATTCTTAATTATTCCTTTTGTATGTAATATAAATAATGTAGTGTAAGATTTTATGCATTTCTTCAGACATTAATTATGATGAGAAAACTATATATCTTTAATGATTTGAATCATGTATGATAATAATTCATTTGACTATGTATAACACTCAATCTCTAATTAGGAAATTGACGTATTTAGGACAATTAGTGAGTCCATTATTTCGCGTGTAAATAAGGTGTGAATCCTCCTCAACCGAAAATCGAGGAACGTGTGCCAACGTATATAGTCAGCTGGTAATTTATAGCCTCAGAGGTTGTGTGATGATTTAACTAAGAGCACTAATCATGTCCTGTTCCAGTTAAGAATGAAAGTAGCTGATAGAATCAACATAAACTCACGCTAATAGAATTGTGTATCAGTATTAGTTGGCGAACTGGCAATAGCTAGTTCACTTGAACTTCGATAGACGATACGACATCTAATGCAAAAAGGGTGGGAATAGTAATTGATCACAGAAAAATCCTGACATGTATTTAGGTTTAGTATTATATTTTCGTTGGAAGATAAATACATAAATATATATATATATATATATATATATATATATATATATATATATATATATATATATATATATATATATATATATATATATATATATATATATATATATAGTGTAGGTTTGTTGTCAATCAAAAGTTGTTTATATCGAACAAATGATTATTCAAATTACCGCTGTCTTAATTTAATTACTTATCTACAATGTATATCTGCCCCAACCCATATCTTCATCTACAACGTACTCCTACAGCCCCGCTACATATGAGCATATATCCTAAATAATATCTTTGAAGGATCCACTCTCAGCCATCCCACCCCTCCAACCGAGTGTAATAAATTCGACAAACATGGGAAGGCGAGAAAACTTTTAGGTAATTTTTCGGTTTTCCTGCTCAAGATATTCCAAGGTTCTTCCTACACTAAATATACTGATCACCGTGAATCACATGCAAAAAGAAATGTCGTCAAAACCAATCCTCGAACACTGGATTTCAAAGTCTGTATTTTTTTTCAGCAATTGCTCAACAGCCCTCATATACCTTATTTCAGAAATGCATTGTACCTACTACGACGTTGCTACAATCATTCAATTTATACAGAACAAAGAAATACTCGTTACCGATGATGAAGTAAAAATTTCATTTAGTGTGCAGCTGGGATGGGAGCGATCAAAAGTGTACTTTTACATACTGTCAGAAAATGATAAATGAATATTTATATGTATGTGATAAAAGACAAAATATATTTCATCAGCATTCCTAAACAAAACATCACAGGCAAAATGAGGATACATTTAAAACAAGAAAGAAAGAATGGTAGTCGAAAGTAGAAAGAAATGTAATACATCCAAACAAAACAAGCGCCTGAGCAGAATAATGAGACTTTATTGATTTAAGTGAATGGCTGCCTCATTAATTCGAATTTCAGCTTAGTGTACATAATGGCGAAAAGAACGACATTTGTGGGCGGCTTAAACCCTTATCTATCTATCTATCTTTCTTCTCCCTCTCTCTCTCTCTCTCTCTCTCTCTCTCTCTCTCTCTCTCTCTCTCTCTCTATATATATATATATATATATATATATATATATATATATATATATATATATGGTTTGTAGATATACAGTTGCTGGTTTAATAAATGATCTGCAGCCATATGGCATATTAAAAAAAGATTATGAATATCAATGTATATGAAATTGGCGAAGATAAATACATTATTGTAAGCAGAGTGATAGACATTGAAAATAATTATAATGTTTTCATGACACTTCAGTTTAATATGATGAAAGAACACTATTACGTTGGCATAAAAAAATCAAGAAACATTGTAGAATTTTGAGTTTGCAAAACCAATTGAAAAAATACACCTTTAAGGAAATGGTTGATTTGTTTGCTTCAATTCTCCAGAAAAATTGACAGATCATAATGGTAATGCTATAGTAAATTCGATTGATTACATGCCTGAAAATTTGTCGAATTTAGAAACCGTTATCATCAATTAAAATTTCCATGTGCCATTGAATAATACATATCATATCGGT